CAGAAAGTAATGTCTAGATAAGAATGAAGGCAACATTTGTACAAACATGCCTGATAAAAATCGATGTATGGATTGTCACAAGAGTAGTCAGAGCCCCCAATAAAATGACCTTTTAATCAAATCAAATAAAACATTTCTATCATGGAATGATACACTTTGTGTGCTACACTATGTATGGATGGATGTTTATTTGTATCAATATATCGTTGATCAATCTACATTTTTCTTGTCATCTTAATTGTATAACTTTGTCATACTTATTACTAAATGGATTTAATATAAATTTTCTAATTTATTTTTCTGTTCCTATAGTTCTCAGCATATGATTACATCTCATCTCCAAAGTTAAAGCCCTCTCAAGGAATGTCAGTCAATGATGATTTGTGTTTTAGCAGAAAAAGAGTGTCAAGAAACTTATTTCAGAATGGCCGAGATTGTAACCCAGATTCTCTTCCTATATGTTCTGGTAAGTAACAGTTCCAGGTAATAAACATGTTGTACAGCAATAAAGACTGAACTTTGAAATTATTCAAGGTCTCATGAAAATTATGATCTAGTAGACTGTTGAGATTCAGCAAACATTTATTGAACGTCTGAGAAAGAGGGACATTTGGCATAATTGTTTTAAAGAATTTCATTGGACCACTTTAAGCAGCAATGTTGAACATTTATCATTTATTTAGTCAGCATCTGAAATTTCTTGAGCATCTCACATGTGTCAGCAAAAGAGAAAACTTCCTGCCTGGAAAAATTTGCATTCTAATTGTGGGTCAATGGACCTTAAATAAACACAAGATATATAATGTGCTACATGGTAGTAAATGTTATGGTTATGGTTATGGTTAAAGCTGAGAGGTGAAAGATGGAGGGGCTACTATTTAAATTAATGTTATGAAAGAAGGCCAGATTCAGAAAGGTATAGTCTTAATTATATAGTGCTACGATAGCAGAAATACCACAAGTTGATGGCTTTAATAGAAATTCTCTCATGCTTTAGGAGGCTATCAGTACGAATTTAAGGTGCAACTCTAGGGGAAGGCTTTCTCATTTTGTTGACTCTTGGAGGAAGATCCTTGTATATTTTTCAACACGTGTGGGCCCAGCATCTTATGGACTAACCCATGTGTATGAGAATCAGTCTTCTGAGTCTAGGAGGAGCTCAGCCCAGGGACCCTGGGTCCAAAGGATGTACTTTGCTCCTGGCTCTTCTATGAGCCTCCCCCACCCCCGCCGCCCACCCCCTGCTCAATTCTCTCTCTTTTCATTTCTTATAAAAGATCCCATATATTGGATGAGACCTGGGTAAGGATGTTACATCCCACTCTAGTGCTCTTTCTTTGCCCAGTCCTGCGCCATCTTTAAAATTGTTATGTTTGAGCCCATTGATGCAGGCATTTTATCAATCCATCTCATTAAAAATCTTCCTTTTTTTTACTGACCCTCTACCAAACATGGTGTCTTTTTTCAAGGTCTGTTCTCTCCTGATAACATGTACAAAGTATGTGAGACAAAACCTTTCCATCCTTGCTACTAAGAATCATCTGGCTGTATCTTCTCCAAGACATTTATTTGTTCTTCTGGCTGTATATGATACTCTGAATATTCTTCACCAATACCACAATTCAAATACATCAATTCTTCTTTGGTCTCCCAAATTCATTGACACCTTTCACATGTAGGCAATTGAATACCATGGGTTAGACCAGGTGCACCCTAGTCCTCGAAGTGACAGCAGATTTTCTCAATGCAATACATCTTTGATTTCTTGACTCTGCTTCCGTGAGTATTGATTGTGGAATCCTAGACAACCTCATTCTTTTCTCCATGTATCATGATGTCTCTTGGTTCAGTTGTGAGAATATTTCTCTTCTTTACATTGAGTTGTAACCTCTACTGATGGTTTTATTCTTCGATCTTTGTAAGTACTCTAAGTCTTCATCACTTAGGGATCCTCATTTATAAAGGTTCCTGTGCCGTTGAATGGACTTTGGCTTTTCTGCTGAGTGGTGAGAGAAGGGGTATCATTTATTTTATGTGTCTTTGTTTTGAAGAAAGGTCTGGCATTTGCCTTAGGTTTATCAGGCTCATATTGGCTGTTGTGTCTAGAATAAAGAAGAGGAAAAGAAGAAGACTGATAGTTGATGTAATAATTCTGGCTAGAACTGTTGGATACTTTGACCAACATAGTAATAAATTTTGTGAGAAGTACATGGAAACTTAAAGAGTTGATATGATTTTGATGTGTTAGGATTGAAAATGGAGTATGGGAGAGAAGACTCAAGATTGACTTAACTATAGAAAGCAAAATGAAGGTCGAACATAATAGTGGAACAGGAGGAAAGTAAAAAGAAATAGAGAAAAGAAGTAGAGGAAAATGACATTTATAGAGGTATAAACATAGGCATGTACATATGTAAATAGACAAATGTATAACAATAGGGATATAGGTGTATGTACATATTATTTATAGGTTAAGTATTAAGGTAGCAGATGGGCACCTCAACACAAGAACACTTTGTTGTAATAACCTGGCTTTCTGTAATGCTCACCTTCCTGACACGATTGCTGAAGACAAAATGGGTGCATAAGCTAATGTAGTGAAGAAAACTGATGGTGCCCAGCTATTACAAGATCTAGCATCTGAGGTCTTAAAGGCTTGAAGTTAAACAAGTGGCCATCTATCAGGGAAGCAACAAAACCTACATGGAAGAAGCACACCAACCCGTATGATGATGAGGTGTCAATGGGATCAGATATCAAGCATCAGAAGACCCAAAACAACCATTTAGATGTGAATGAGGGGGTTCAGAATGGAGACCTAAAGCCCAGCTGTAGACAGTTGGTCATCCCCTCACAGAAGGGTCACAAGGAAGTGAGGAGCCACCCAGGGTACAGTATAGCAACAACGAAACACACAACTTTCCTCTAGCTCTTTGGTGCTTCCTTCACCCAACTATCATGACCCCATTTCTATCTTACAAATTTGGATACACCGGAACATGTACACTGATACAGATAAGAGCCCTGGACACACAGAATCCAGGACAGATAAATCCTTCAGGACCAATAATGAGAGTAGCAATACCATGAGGGTAGGGGGAAGGTAGGGGAATAAAGAGGAAACCGATCACAATGATCAACATACAACCCCCCCACCCCCACCCCCACCCCCCCGGGGAATGAACAACAGAAATGTGGGTAAAGGGAGACAGTGGATGGTGTAAAGTATGAAAATAAAAATAATTTTGTAAATTATCAAGGGTTCACGAGGGTGGGAGGAAGGGGGACAAAAGAGCTGATACCAAGGGCTCAAGTAGAAAGAAAATGTTTTGGAAATGTTGATGGAAACATATGTACAAATGTGCTTGATACAATTGATGTATGGATTGTTATAAGCTGTAAAAGTCTGTAATAAAATGATTGTTCAAATTTTTTTTAAAGAATGATTTAAGGACTGTTGGCTAGAGCAATGGAAAGATGCAGTGTTCTGTTCTGTTGCGCATAAGGTCGGTATGCGTCAGAACCTACTTGATAGCACCTAAAAACAAAAACATCCATTGGAGAGGAGAGTCCTGGTGGCATGGTTGTTAGAACTTGTGGGCTGCTAACCACAAGGTCAACAGTTCTATGCCCTCTGGAGAAAAACAGACTTTCTATTGCCATAAAAAGTTTGTTTCAGAAACCCGGGGGCAGTTGTAATCTGTTCCATAGAGCCACTGTGAGTTGGAATCAGCTGGATGGCTGTGAATTTGTTTCTTTGTTTTTATCCATTGGAGAGGAAAAGGAATCTAGTAGACATGTGGATAAGTTTGGGAATTATGTATACGTTGCATGTTATGTTAGGAAAGAAAGTAGAATAATTCTGCAGAATTTTTTGTACAGAAGGAAAGCCAGGTCTGGAAAAATACTCCAGGGTGAAGGAGAATAGTTAGAGAAACAGTAGAATCCTGCCTTTTTGTATGTTCTTCAATCGACTTTTTCTTTTCTATCCTTTAGTAGTCTGCCTCCTGTCTTGCCACTAATCAGATCTATCAAAAGCCTTCTCTCTTAAAAAGCCTTGTATCTTGAGTGCTTGCCTATGTTTTTCCCTAAACAAATCACTCCAACATTTGTGAAATAAGAGGTAATCATGAAATAAAATTAACCTTTACCATCATGTCTTTTTCTATCCTTTCTTCAAAAGGTACTAATGGAACTCATCAAGCAAATCTGTCTGGGAAATGTGGACAATTTGGATTTTCACAGATATGTGGTAAAACTGGCAGTTTGGAGTCTGATTTACAGTTTCTGGGGACAACTAACAGTCATCAAGATAAAGGTATAAAGTTCAATATTTAAAATATTTGATACAAGTGATTCATAAATAGCATGGAATTTCCCCATCTAAGTAAAACATCAGTTTATGTAATTATGCTCATCACAAAAATTTACAGTATATTGTTATATTTTAATAGCAATTTTAATTAAAGTTTTATAATTTTTATTCCTAAAATAATAGCTTTCATCATCTTGATATATATATGAGTGACTAAAATTAGAGAGTTTAGAAACTCTCAATACAAAGTCACTAAAAAAATAATATCCATTTACAGGGGAATAGTAACGGTTCTAAAATGTAGCTTTTCTGGCCATGTTTGATCAATAGAATTTTATCTGAGAGGAATTACTGATAGATGAATGATGGGTAAATGTGATAGGAGGGTAGAAGGAAAGAAGAAAGAAAGAAAAAAATAGGAATACATACATATGTAAATATATGAATATATAATTATTTAAATATAGGTATATTTGTTTATATATTAATGTAAATACAAGTGCAACAAGGAAGCCGATGGACTTTGGGCTTCTACTTAAACCTTACCTCAGTACAAGAATGGTTTGTTCCAATAATGTGTTTTTGTATGATACTCACCTTCCTGACAGGATCGCTGAAGACAAAATGGGTGTGTAAGCAAATGTGCTAAAGAAAGCTGATGGTGCCCGGCTATTAAAAGATATAGTGTCTGGGGTCTTAAAGTCTGTTAGTCAAACAAGCAGCTATCTAGCAGGGAAGCAACAAACCCTAGATGGAAGAAGCACACCATGTTGTATGATCATGAGGTATCAACAGGAAAAGGCATCAGAAGTTCAAAACCAAGAAACCAAGTCGATGTGAAGGGGATGGGATGTAGTGGAGACCCAAAATCCACCTGCAAGTTAATTGGACAGTCCCTCTCAAAAGAGGCACATGGAAGGGATAATAAATCCAGGGCGTTGTATAGCACTGATGAAACACATAACTATAGTTCTTTAATATGCCCTCCCCTTACTGTTACGGTTTTATTTGTTTTACCTCATTAATAATGTTAGACTTGCTTATGTTCATTTGTATAATTAAAATCATTAGATACATGAAAGCCAAGATAGATAACCCTTCAGAAACAGTAACAGAAGTAATGGTTCCCTGAGGGAATGGGAAGTGAGGTAGGGGGAATGGGAGGATGGGGAGCAGCTGATAGCACTGATGATTGTATAACCCCAGTCGAGGGGAGCAAACAACAGAATTGTACGTAAATGGATATATTGGATGTTGTAACATGTGAAATAAATAAATATAAGGGCTCCTGGGGGTAGAGTGGGGGAGGAAGGGATAAAGGGAAGCTGATATTAAGGAGTTCAAGAAAAAAGAAAATGTTTTGAAACCTGTGGTAGCAGTTGTACAGTACTGCTGGATATGATTGAACTATGGAATGTTATGATATCTGTAAGCACTCCCAATAGAATGATAAATAATAATACCCATTAACATCTCTGTATTAGCAAAGGACAATTTTCCATGACAGTTTAAAATTTTAAGAATACTCAAGAATTTCTTATGCCTCTTATTAGGAATCATAACTTGCTGAATAACTATCATTTCAGAGAATACAAGATTAAACAAAAGGAAGAGTTTGAGGCTATCAGTCACATGAATTTGAGATTTTAAGGAGTTTCTTTAATTTTCATGCTTGTGAATAACATTTTCCAATACTATTTATAGATCACTCACTGACATTGAGTTCTGACTCACAGTGACCCTATATGACAGGGCAGAATTAGCCCTGTGGATTTCCATGACTGTAACTTTATGGGAGTAGAAAGTCTCATCTTTCCCCTGAGGAGCCCTGGTGGGGTAGTAAATACTCATTGGGCTGCAATCCTCATGGTCAGCAAGTCAAAACGATCTCCAGGGGAGAAAAAGTAGGCTTTCTACTCCTGTAAACAGTTACAGTCTCGGAAACCCACAGGGGTTTGCTCGCTTTGAGCCAGCGTTGACTTGTTGGCAGTGAGTTGTGTTGTTGTTTTTTAATACAGTTTAATTTTTGTTTTATGTTCTGTATGAAAAATTTTCAAAAGTGGTAGAGATGTACTTCTTTATTTGTTGATGATAAAGTACTGTCATTTGAAATTAATAAAGTAGCTTTAGTTAACCTAGCACTTATATTTTAGCTACCCTTTACCTTTCCTCCAAAGGGCCACATGACGGTTTAAGGTTTGTTATTGTGATGTTATTCCTAATAAAAATAATTAATTTTTCTAAATTATGTAGATAGTTTCTAAATCATGACTCTTGAATGCCTTTGGAACCCAAAACTTGCCTTTATCCTGAGATAGAATATAGTACAATACAAAGCACAGGGCTAAGGACCAGACTACCTGGGATGGTATTTTTGCCTTTCTACCACCTATGTGACTTTTTTTTTTTTTTCCTTTTTTAACATTTTATTAGGGGCTCATACAACTGTTATCCCAATCCATACACACATCAATTGTGTAAAGCGCATTTGTACATCGTTTCTCAAAAT